GCCTGGGAGGAAGCCGCCCCTCCAGCTCTCACCCGGATCTCAGGCAGGTTAGTTCCCCCCGAGTGTCCCGGGTCCTTTCCGGCTGCTGCCCAGCGCTGGGCTCAGAGGGAGCGTCCGAGTGAGTCTGTGCCGGGCCCTTTAGAGGAGCTGCTGGGGCTCCCGCAGCCTCCGAGACCCTCAGGGACAGTCTCGCTGGTTTCACAGCCCGGAGTTGTGGGGGCGTCTCTTCCCGGCCCTGGAGCCCTGGACTGGGGGCCTGCTGTGGGGCTGGGACCCCTCACTCTTCTGGGAAACCCCCACTGCTGAGATTCCCTCCCGGGTTTACCCGCGGTACTGAGTGTGGGCCCGCAGCCACGTCTTCGATTCATCCCCGATCCGCCCCCGTCTCCGCCCCTCCTACCGCTCTTGATGCTCCTTCAGTTCCCTGGTTGTGGGTCTTCTGTTCAGCCAGATCTCAGGAGGCTCTGAGTGACGGTGGTTCTGTATTTTAGTTGTAATTTTGATGTGGTTGCTGGAGGTGGCGGGTGCAGCTGTTACCTACGCCACCGTCTTGTTTCCTCTCCAGATTTATTTCTTAATATTAATAATGAGAGTTGGCATTTGTGAAATGCTTGCTAAGAGCTAGGAAGCCTGATATATAATCTCATTTAATGTCTACAACTACGCAATAAGACTATTATTTTTGCCACCTTATACGTGAGAAAACTAAGACATGAAGAAATTGAGTAACTTGCCCAAGATTAAAATACCTAGTTCATGGCAGAAACAGTATTTAGTCCTTAACTTGATTCCAAAGCCAATGTACTTAACCATTAAATTATACTGCGTTCTTTACCTCCACAGCCATCCTCCTTATTGAACCTGGGAGAACTTGAGCCATAAACTCTTAGACTTGGACTTGGCGTCCATTGACATTTCTATAGTGGACAAATTTGGGGCACTTGCTCATTAGGTAGTTGTCAGTATTATACCCATGTCTCTGAGAATTGCACTCAGCCACAGAGGATGGCTCTGGGAAGCCATGTTTGTTCTACCCGAATTTGCCCCCTTGCCACATTTGATGGAACC